CTGTGATATCGGCGAGGGACAGCCCACATTATAAATAGGTCTGATTTTAGTTTTTTGACCATCAGTTTCCCAAATTGAACGATTTTCAAGAACCTTAGCTAATGAGGGTGACTCTGAATTATAAATCATAGGATATAAAGCCATAAAGGTTTGAAAAAGTCGCTGTGTATATAGAACGAACTTATCTCACTGTGGCGGCGATTTTCACAGGGTAGCATGACTACATAGGGCTCACACAGAGATCGAAAAAGCAGTTACTGGGCTTTTATATGAGAGCCTCACTTCTTTACAGTTATTAAATAATTATTGCTGATGAAAACTGAGTGACTATAAAAGATTTTCAATCGCACTTACCAAGAAGTTGACTTTGTGGTTGATGCTTTGAAAATGAAACAACCGAAAATAATGATTTGCAGTCAGGACTTTTCCCAACCCTCCGCAACTTTCGCTGTCACGGTGTTTTGAGGATCCAAACCACCTGCGTTTTAGGTTATTCTCTCAGTCAGGATTCCTTGATTCTCGCTTTGGAACGGTTGGATTGCGTCACGAGATCAAAGTTTCTTTGATGGGAAGCATTCTGTGTGTGATAATGAAATCATTGACGGTATTCGTAAACTATTCATTTTCTAGCGGGTGTTTGCATCATCGAAGACAAAAATAACAGAAAAACTAAGTGACTGTGTTTTGGTTTGGCGCATAACACTTTTATAACTAATGATGGACTTGAGCATCTAAAAAAATTTAAAAATTTGAGTCTGTTTTACAAAAAACGTCAGACTTAGTGTTTATATCCCTTCGGAATAGTGGATTTCCTGATCATTTTTCAACTGAAGCTTCAGTCTTTAAACATTAAGCTATCTCCGCGCGCAAAGAGACTCATTTTCTTCATTTACTTTTCATCTTCTTGCAGATGTGATTTGCATGATCGAAAACAATAATACTAACTTATCTAATAGGTAGGTTGGAAAAACGGACGGAGCGGATCGGTGATTTACTCTAAAAGAACCGCAAAACTGGTCTCACCTTTGAAGGCGTTAATGCAGAGGAAAAAATATGATAACAAGCAGATGACATAAGAGAGAGGATCCAGCTTGACTCTCAGTAATAATAAACATTTAATAATTTTTTTAGGGAGGGGAGGGAGGTGGGGGAAATGAGCCTGAACCATATTTCTGTTGTAGGATCCGTGCACCCGAAAAAAAGGCTCTCCTGAAAACTTGTAACGACGATTCCCGCACGTTTTACCTTTCTGTTCCTCTTTTCCTTAGACAAATGCAAGAAACTTGCAATTAGAGAGCACTAACACCGAGCGATCATTTGAATGATAAGAATTCTACATGGCGTAAGTTCTTCCTTGTCTTGTAAAAATAACCGGCGAACAATTGCAAGTTTAACTAGCTTGCTTCCCGTGTATTTTAGCGTTTTTGTCACAAGATGTGGAGGCAACGGTTGCCTCCACATAGGATAAAAAGTTCTTTAACCACGACTGGACTTGTTGTATTTGATGTCAACATTACCTGATTTCTCGGAAGTCGTGGAAATTTCATTTTCCAAGGCTACAAGGCCAAAGCCAAATAAGCCGCATTTGAGAATGATGAGATTATTGTAATCATGATATAAGCACATGACGTCTTCAATCAGTAGTAAATGACCGACATTAAAAGTGTTCTCTCTGTAATTGTTTGTTATCGTGTGCAGATAACACCATATACATTTCACAGGTTATGTACCAATTTTTTAGGAAACTGAGGCGTTAGGAACATTTTTCAGATGGGAAGGATGATAGTGGGGGGTGGGGGGTGGGGTTACAGTTGCGTCAAATTTAAATTAATTTAAGAGCATACCGGCCAGGATGTTTTATTATCATGACATAAACAGCAAAGTCACAGTATTTTGTCTTTGACAGAGTAAACAACTACTGCAGGACTTGATAAAAATAGTTATGGGTTCCTTTTAACTTCAATCTTTCATTTACACTTTCTAGGCAAGATGTTGCTTTCTTGCTGTACTCTCCAAAGTCACCATTTGTGATTGAAATGGGGCATTTAACCTCTCTACAGCCCAGTCCACAACATTCACATGAAATAAGGAAGTCTGGTGAGGCATGAATGTAGGGAAACTTCTTGTTTATGCCCACATCTCTTTACTTCAAAGTTGACATGATGTAATTTCATGTACTGTTCATATGTTTTAATGGCATTTTCCTCGTGTTTCCATCCATGTTTTACTGCTTCGTTATTTAGTTTGAAGAAGTGTGGATAACATATGGTATGAATTAAGGAAGGAGAAGGTTGTGCTACGTTAGTGTGGTAGACAGCACCACAAACAGAAGCACCGATTCTACCTGTTCGATGTCTAAAAACTCCTGGTCCCTTTGCTTGAGTTTTTGTGTCCTGCTCGACAATTTCAATTTCTCTCTCTGAGATACTTATCTCAACTACTAAACACTTCCGTAAAAGCTCTGGATACTTTAGATCCAGATTGTTTGGCTGTTAAAGATCAGTCAATATAAAGATCACACTCGCTAGAAAATGACAAATTTATGAAGACAATGAGCCGCTCATCACGCCTAGATAACCTACCGTTTAAAGAAAGAAACTTCGATCAGTTGTTATGTGATCGATCTTGTGATGCAAATCAAAGTGTTCCAAAGCGAGAAACAATGAATCATCACTTTCCCTACTAAAAAAAAAAAATTTTATTTTTTTTTTATTTTGGCCTGTTGAAATCCGTCATTAGTTATAAAAGTGTGACGTACAAAACCGAAATGCTATGTACTTAGGGAGTGAGTGGGAGCACTTGACGGGAAAACATTTGGTTCGCGATCATGACGTACGGACAAAGCGCAGCAAGGTCCGTGCTTGAAAGCTGGGAGCCAATTATTTTAGCGTCCGGCCCGACCAAACTTAGTCAATGAGCATCTTATCATCTGGCCATCAGGCGTCGAAAATCTCAACCCAACTAGGATACGATGGACGGGCAAACGAGCCTAAAAAATCTTCTGCATTTAAAACTTTTCCGCTATTATTCTCGATTAGCCTACGAAAGGGTAGGGAGGAGAGAATAAACTAAAAAAAACTTGACCTGGATCCCAAAACACTGTGAAAGCGAAAGTTTCGGAAGGTTGGGAAAAGTCCTGACTGTAAATAATCATTTTCGGTTGTTTCATTTTGAAAGCACCAGCCACAAAGTCAACTTCTTGGTAAGTGCGATTGAAAATCAGTCAATATTCATTAGCTGTAGTTATTTAGTAACTGTAAATAAGTAAGGCTCTCATGGGAAAGTTTGTGTATGCACTATGTAGTTATGTCACGCTGTGAAATAATCGCCGCCACAGTGAAATTAACTAGTTCTAGAGCGAATTTTTCAAACGTCTGTGACTTTATATCCTATAATTTATAATTATCCACACAAGGGAAGATTATTGAGGATCGTTCAATTTGAGAAACTGATGATCAAAAACCTAAAGTTAGACCTACTGATTTTATGGACCGACCCTCGCTGATATCATAAAAAATTCGACTGAGGTGCTTTATTACGTGATGTTCTAGTGGCTATGATTTGCACCTTGTTTTAGGAGTGTTCAATGAACGATTCAAAGATCACGGTAGATAAGAATTGAATTTTCGTTTTCTACATGTACAACGCCAGGCATTTCATAGCCGAGATACCTTACGCTGAAATGTTTGAATGTTAACGGTTCCACAGTGCAAATTTTCCCAAAGAGCGTAATCTAGTTGTCTGTTAAAGCACCTGAATCTCGCATGACAGATAGGTCAGTCTATAACACTGAACACTCACGCAGAGAGTTGTTATAATTTTCTTTTAGAAACTGAAACTTATTTAAATTTACCGATATTAGTGTACCTTTCCGTTTGCCAAATGCTTCATATCTCCACCGTTTAACTGGATCAACTGCTTTCTTCAAACCGTTATGGCTTTATACCCCGTATTTTAACCTCATTAGCAGTTTGAGAAACTCAAATCACGTGATTAAAAACTAAGATCAATCCTATTTTAAGGCATATTTTATAATGCGGACTGTCACTAGCCAGACGATATTTGCGGTGTTACAGTTCGTGGTTTTTCCAGTCGCCATAATTTTCTTGAGTAATTATCGAGACCTCGTCCCCTTTTTGTGAAAGTACCGTCAAGGTCTTGCATAAGAAGATAAGCTAGTGTAAGACACCGCGTGCTCACGACGATATGATATGATATCATAATTCTCTGTAAGCCAGAACTGAAGGAAGTGTAATTGATCATTGTGCTTATTTCTAAAATTGAAGTACATAGTTTATTTACCAAAAAGTCGCCACCGAAGTGAAATTAATTTGTTTTAGCTAAAACTGTGGCCCCAAAATATTTTTCTCACATTGCTTTACACGTTTTAAATTCTTCACAACTTCACCCGTTCCTGTTGGTAAGTCCGGCTAAGCCTCTATTATCATTGGCCTCCCGTTATAGCCACTAACTTTGGCTTATAAATACAGGCGTTTAGTTATACTTGTAAAACTCGCTGAAGAAGTCTACGACAGTTAGACGAAACGCATCGGAGAATAAAGAAGTTTTACAACTACTGTTCGCAGAAGTGCTGCTCTAGTTCATATTTAAAAAATTGTTAACAAATTATAGAGTTAAAAATTGTTTAAGTCACTTTTTAATCTCGAAGGCCAATATGATTTTTGGTTTGTCCTGTTCTGTCCTGTGACTATTAAGTCACATGGTGTGCAAAACTCGCCACCGGAGTAAAGTGAATTTGTCACAAAGCCGGACTTCTATTTATTTCTTATCAATATCGTAGATATTGTGAATTGTAACACTTTCAGTTCGGTATTAGAAGTAATCAACCCAGCCCGTTCTTTCAAGTTCACTTATAAGCTTCCTGTTCGTAGTGACTGACAATGAATCCAGATTATCTAATCATTTGGTTAACTTGTGTTACTAAAAATGTTTGCCTTATTCGGATCAAATAACAGGAGAGGATAGCGATGAAAAACCTAATGGTAGAAGACATGGTAACTTCCGTAGACATAGTCTTTTTGGTTGCCGTGTTCCTGCTAAACTCAGATCGCGTTCAGAAAGCCATTGACATGTGCAGCGAATGCTTGATTTTGCTAAATAACACCAACCAACACATCAAAGACCAATTTCTTTCACTACGCTACGGTGCCATCTATGACGTTCTTTTCCGCGCTTATCGTCGTATCTCTGACTACATGAATGCGGAAAGATACGGAAGGAGACTACTTGTCCTATACGAGTCTGGTGACTTAGTACAAGAAGGATATCTAAGCGTAGCTCTCGCAGAGATAGTTGAGAGTCAAAACAGGTTTACAGAAGCCAAAAAACTTTATAAAAAAGGATTCAATATAATGAGACAAACTGGTGAAAAAATTGGAGAAGCAAACGCTTGTATAGGCCTCGGAAACATCTTTCATAAACTTGGCGAGAACCTTAAAGCGAAAAAGTATTTTGAGAGAGCCCTTGTCATCAAAACTGAAATTGGCGACAGAAATGGAGAGGCATCTTGCTACGGAAAACTAGGAACTGTGTGTCAGTGGCTCGGGCAATATAACAGGGCAAAAGAGTATCTCGAAAAAGCGCTTGTCGTCACAACTGAAATTGGCGACAGAAGAGGAGAGGCGACTTGCTACGGAAACCTAGGAAATGTGTGTGAGTCGCTCGGGCAATATGACAGGGCAGAGGGTTATCTCGAAAAAGCGCTTGTCATTATAACTGAAATTGGTGACAGAAATGGAGAAGCAATTTGCTACGGAAACCTAGGAACTGTGTGTCGGTCGCTTGGGCAATATGACAGGGCAAAAGAGTATCTAGAGAAAGCGCTTGTCACCAAAACTGAAATTGGCGAAAGAATTGCAGAAGCAAGTTGCTACGGAATCCTGGGAGCTGTCTGTCGGTCGCTCGGGGAATATGACAGGGCAAAAGAATATCTTGAAAAAGCGCTTGTCATCATAACGGAAATTGGCGAAAGAAATGGAGAGGCTAGTTGCTACGGAATCCTAGGAGCTGTGCATGAGTCGCTCGGGGAATATGACAGGGCAAAAGACTATCTGGAAAAAGCGCTTGTCATCATAACTGAAATTGGCGACAGAAATGGAGAGGCAACTTGCTACGGAAACCTAGGAACTGTGTATCAATCGCGCGGGCAATATGACAGGGCAAAAGAGTATCTAGAGAAAGCGCTTGTCACTAAAACTGAAATTGGCGACAGAACTGGAGAGGCAAGTTGCTACGAAACCCTGGGAGCTGTCTGTCACTCGCGCGGGCAATATAACAGGGCAAAAGAGTACCTCGAAAAAGCGCTTGTCATCAGAACCAACATTGGCGATAGAAATGGAGAGGCAACTTGCTACGGAAGCCTCGGAACTGTGTGTCACTCGCGTGGGCAATATAACAGGGCAAAAGAGTATCTAGAGAAAGCGCTTGTCACTAAAACTGAAATTGGCGACAGAAATGGAGAGGCAACTTGCTACGTAAACCTAGGAAGTGTGTTTCAGTCGCTCGGACAATATGACAGGGCAAAAGAGTCTCTCGAAAAAGCGCTTGTCATCGTGACTGAAATTGGCGACAGAAAAGGAGACGCAAGTTGCTACGGAATCCTAGGAACTGTGTGTCAGTCGCGTGGGCAATATGGCAGAGCAAAAGAGTATCTCGAAAAAGCGCTTGTTATTATAACTGAAATTGGTGACAGAAATGGAGAGGCAAGTTGCTACAGAAACCTAGGAAACGTATGTGGGTCGCTCGGGCAATATGACAGGGCAAAAGGGTATCTCGAAAAAGCGCTTATCATCATAACTGAAATTGGCGACAGAAATGGAGAGGCAACTTGCTACGGAAACCTAGGACGTGTGTGTCAGTTGCTCGGGCAATATGACAGGGCAAAAGAGTATCTCGAAAAAGCGCTTGTCATCAGAACTGAAAATGGCAACAGAGAAGGGGAGGCAAGTTGCCATGGAAACCTAGGAGTTGTGTTTTGGTCGCTCGGGCAATATGACAAGGCAAAAGAGTACCACGAAAAAGCGCTTGTAATCAGAACTGAAATTGGCGACAGAAATGGAGAGGCAAATTGCTACGCAAACCTAGGAAGTGTGTGTCATTCGCTCGGGCAATATGAAAGGGCAAAAGAGTATCTCGAAAAAGCGCTTGTCATCACAACTGAAGTTGGCGACAGAAAAGGTGAGGCAAGTTGCTATGGAAACCTAGGAGGTGTGTGTCGGTCGCTTAGGCAATACGGCAGGGCAAAAGAGTATCACGAAAAAGCGCTTGTCATCAGAACTAAAATTGGTGATAGGAGAGGGGAAGCAACAGATCTTGCAGACCTTGGAACTATTTCTAGAATCCTTGGAGATTATGAAGCTTCGGAATTATACTTGGAGAGAGCATTAATCATATCCAGAGATATTGGAGGTACAAGAATAGAGTTCGAAATCCTTGAAACTTTTGCCATCTTGTATTTCTTTCAAATCAAAATGAAAGACTCCCTTTCCTGTCTTCATCAATGCATTGTAAAATATGAAGAGCTGAGAGATTTCCTTGGCCTCAACGATCAGTTTAAGACATCATTTTTGGAGCAGAGTGGTGTATTTCCCTACAAACTGCTTGGCAGTTTGCTTTGTCGAACCGGAAATACTTGTGATGCTCTTTATGTTGAGGAGTTAAGTCGTGCAAGAGGCCTATCAGATTTGATGGCCAAGAAGTACTCGGTTGAAACGTACATCTCTGCTAATCCACAATCTTGGTTTGGCATTGAAAACGTTTTGAGAAAGGAAAATAACTGTACTTGCCTTTACATTTCTTGTGTTCAAAATGACGTGTATTTGTGGATCTTGAAAACAAGTGGAGCCATTCATTTTAAACGAATATCACAAGAAGAGAATCTCGCTCAGGCTGGGTTGCCCAAAGATTTGCCTTTGAGTACATTTTTGGCTGATAACTTCCGGAGTCTTGGTATTTTGCCCAGTGAAGATTGTGAGGATCGGTCTTTAAATATGGTTGAGCCACAACCTCTTACCCCCCAGCAAAAGAGCTCAGCAAGGGTACGACTCTTGGAGGAGGACGAGAAAGTCATTTCAAGTTTATCGTTGTGTTACAAAATCTTTATTGCCCCAGTTTATGATTTGCTCGAAGAGCCTGAACTCATTATTGTTCCGCACAGTACTTTGTACAAAGTTCCCTTTGCTGCCCTGGGTGAAAAGGAGGGAGCCGAATACCTCTCTGAGACTCGAAGGATCCGTGTCATTCCTTCTTTGACGACACTCAAGATCATTCAAGACAGTCCAGAGGACTATCACAGCAACACTGGTGCCTTGATAATAGGCAATCCTAAGGTTGATTGGCTGCTGCCATTGCCAGGTGCAGGAAAGGAAGCGGCGATGGTAGGACGGCTCGTGGGCGTTCCGCCCCTTGTAGAAGATCAAGCAACGAAGCAGGCAGTACTTGAAAGGATAAGTTCAGTGAGCCTGATACATTTTGCTGCCCATGGTAACGCTGAAAGAGGAGAAATTGCCCTCTCCCCTAATCCCACTTTAAATAGTCAAAACACTATCCCATCACAGGAAGCTTATATGTTGACAATGGCTGATGTCTCACGAGTGAAAGTCAGAGCTAAACTGGTGGTTCTTAGCTGCTGTCATAGTGGAAGTGGACAGATAAGAGCCGAGGGAGTTATTGGAATTGCCCGTGCGTTCCTAGGATCTGGTGCTCGCTCGGTGTTAGCTGCACTTTGGGCCATTCCAGACTCAGCAACAGAGCAGCTAATGAGTCGGTTCTACGAACATCTTGTTGGTGGAAAAAGTGCCAGTGAATCTCTTCATCACGCCATGAAGTGGATGAGAATTAACGGCTTTACCAAAGTGTCGGAGTGGGCTTCGTTTACGCTGATTGGAGATGACGTGAGGCTGGAGTTTGGCACGTAGAGGTAAGGTTAGGTAAAAAAAAAGTAGTTCACATAGTAAAGTAAAATTACAGATTAAGGGGGCCATGGCACTGATCGCTGACTGTCATGATCAGGGGCGGCCCATTGTTTCCTTAGCTAGTTTTATATTTATTGACTCTATTATTTTTTTTGTTAAACGTAGCAATTGAGGAGGTGAAAGGTGTAATATATTGAATCTCGAAAGTGCTTCTATGCTAGTGAAAAACAAGGGTTAGCCATACATATAACTACATATTGTGTCTAAGAAAACTGTATTTACTTCTACAAGAAAGAAGACCCCAACAGTTGAAAAGATGAGATTGACTCGAAGGAAACAGAGCTATCTGAAATTAATTAGGAGATCAATTGCAATTTTTTTGCGTTTCCTTTCTCAATATCCTCAAGAAAGTATTATTTTCCTGCGCAAAAATAATCTCATTTGATAAAGTTAGTACAAAACTTTGTTTATATATGGCTATATAATGTACAAGGTAAATTATTTTATTATTATGAAGTGTAAATAACAGAACCAATATTTTGGAACTGGTTCAATAGGTCGCTTACGGATTATGTAATTTTTTGGATAATGTATTCTGCGTACTGGTATGAATCATTGCTTTTAATTGTTTTTCTAGTCGGGGTATTATCAATATATTTTTTGGGGAAATCAATAGTTTCTTTTTTTTTCCAAAAATTTCCTGTTTATCTAAAATATAGATAGATTTCCCTTTTTGGGAAGCCTTCTTAGAGGATAATGTAGTAATATCAAAGACGCTTAAATAAAAGTTAGCTTGAGACATGTCATAAATTTCGGACAACATGGCTGCCAACAAGGCCGGAAGCATGCGCAGATAACACAACAAGAGATTGAAAATGGCGGCAGAACATAAAGGAAATATGGGAAAATTTTTTTAATTTCCGGTTTTTGTAATTTTCACTCAAATGACCACTTTCCCCATCTTAAAAATCAAAAAAGCAAAGATAAAAGTACATTTTCATCGAACAAGAAATGAAGATAATTTCATTTTTAGCCACTGCCTTTTGTGATCAAAATAACTTTAGATAAGCACAATGGATGCCCATACTAACCTCTTAAAACAGAGCTTAACTTCTCGTTTTTCTAAGCGTGAGGTGAGAAAGTTCTTGTCTCCACAAGTTTCCCCAGCTTCCCATTCAAAACATTCGATGTTTATCTTGAAAAACAAACGTTTTTATCCCCAAAAAATTATAAAAAATGGCTAAGGCACTACGAAGAAAATCAGGCTCGTTTGTAAGTGAAACCAATGAAGAATTGGAGCCTTTACCGAGGGAAAAATGCTCAGAGGTTTGTTCTTTTTTCTGTTTAGTGGCTCTTTGGCAGCCAGTTTTGTTTTACCTCGTTTCGAGTGGTCAGCTGTATTCCCTGATAAAATAGGGAAAGCGCTGAATATAGCAACCGGCTGAATTTCGAAAAATAGCGGGAAATAACTGCGGGAAAGATTTTTGTTAAAAAAAAAATATTTATGCCATGTCTGATAGAACCACCAGTTAAATCTTTTGAACCTTGGAAAATTAACGTTGTGGACGTCTAACTGAAATATGCAGTGATGTTCGATCATTTAGATAATCTGCAGTGCTCACGTTATTCAAATCCTTATAAAAGCCCTTGCTCACTCTTTTCTTCGTCCTGGCCGCCATTCTGATTATGCGCCCGCGGGAAAGCCGCTTGCCGTCCCCCATTTCTGGCTATGCATAGAAAATCTCGTGAATATTCTCTTAATCAGCGCAAATCATAAGATGATGAATGTTTGCATGCTCAAAATAATGATTGCCTTTAAATTTTCCAACTGTTGGGGTATTAGACTGTCGTTTCAATTCACTGCGTAACTAATAAGCAACAACTTAAAAATAAACATATATTCCATGGCGCCTTTTACCTGCGCTGCAAATAGTGATAAGCTCCGGCGAGGGTTTTTATATTTTCCCCGGAAAAGTAATGATCAATTTTTAAAAAATAGCTGTGTATATAATTAATTTAATAAATGGAAGCAAATATTTATAGCAGCGTCGCCTTAAAGCCTTTCAGCATTGCCTCGCGATGTTTTTTCGAGCTTCTTGTCTATGCTGAGACCTTTAAATACCGGCAGTAAAAAGGGGCGTGTGGCTGCCCTCGAAGGTCAACTCGCATCCGAAGGAGTTTCGTTGTTATTCGCAAGAAAAAGAGAAATTTTAATCCTGGGATCTGGCTTAGAATTAACAAATCTTCTTGGGAAAATAGCTTAGTCGCCTTAAAATACATGGATGTGCGAAGGATTACATGGATCTGACTAACATGTCATAACAACAACATGGCGGCAACTAGCACGAGTTCACAAAACAAGGGGTGTAACCGCTGACCACAAATGCTCCTATCCTTACTACGGCGCTGCTGTAGTAACAGGGCCGTTTCGATTTTTAGGGTAGATTGCAAGCCATACAATTTCGAGATCGTCAGTCTCGAGGTCTCCGCACCTTTTTGCTTTAAGGGAGTTGTTTAGAATACAAAACAAGTTTATATTTCCGCAACAAGTCCTATATTTTACAAAACAAGTTTTATATTTTCGCAATAAGTCATATATTTTACAAAGCAAGTCTTATATATCCATAGACAAGTATTTTTGTCCTCTTCGGCACGCCATAGAACTCTATCGTCTGACTTTCCAACTCTATCCTATCGATGAAACTGAAATCCGTGAATACATAATTGGGGACTTTTTGAGAGCTTAAGGTCTCTGATAGGATCAGAATATCCAGTCTGTTCTGGTCATTGCTCGGTCGTCTTATCATCACTCGGATCTCTTCAAGCTTGCTATCTGTCAGGTGCCGTACATTCCCCAGAAAATTCGTAGATCTTATAGGTTCTGAGCTTGACCGCAACTAGGCTGAATTTCCACATCATTGGCCAGCTGAATGACTAGTAGCGAGATAGAGGCATTGAGCATCGGTCGGTAACCGAGTAGAACTCACGTTGAGTTTAAAATGAATACCGGTAGGTCAGAATGAGAGAAGTAAGGTCCCAAACTGACCAAGTTAGAAAAATCCCTTTTTTGATTTCCTGAAGTCCTGACATAGACTTCTTCAAACGGCTCTTGGAAGAGTTAGGATTAAACTACAATTCTACCTCATCATAGTTCCGTCACAAAAGAATCACGTAAGATTGCGCGAGCAAGCCAGATCAGTGTGAAGTGAGCTTTCGGTTATGGCGAACGCAGAGGTGAATGAGAGGAATGAGAAAGACGGCAAATCTGTCTCTAGCGGAGAAGAAGACGAAAATGCACTATTAGCCGAAGACGGAAATGACCATGACACCACCGGTGCTCATGCTATCGCTCCCGATAAACTATGGGAAGCTATTCAAGGACTGCAAAAGATAGTTAATCTTTTGGCGGGAACGTCAACATGCATCACCGATGCTTCATTAAAGCGGAAAGTACCGCAAACGTCCAAGGCAGAGTCAAAAAGTGACTCAAACTCCCAACCGGGACCCTCAAAAAGAAAGCTAGAAAAGCTTTGTCTGATTCCGATGACGCATCAGACGACTCCGATAGCGACGAAGCTAACGCCATCCTTGGAGAAGAAGAACAAGATTGTGACTCGAGTGACAAGCTCCTGAAAGAGATTGAAGAAGAATACAACACGGCCGATAAAACGAGCCCAAATATAAATGAACATCTAGCGAATCTTATTAATAAGAGATTTGCTGGAAAACTCAAAGAAGCGAAGTTTAAAGAAAGACTAGAACTGTATGTCCGACCCGGCAACTGCGAAAAATTGAAAGTGCCCCTCGTGAACCACGAACTATGGGGTAAACTCAAACCACCGGTCAAATCACAAGACTTGCGCCTCGCAAATGTCCAACAGACCGTTGTGAAAGCCACCATTGCGCTTGCAGAGGCAACTGAGAAGATAAGTAAAGTCAAAGCGAAGATGGATGGAAAACCAAAAAGTATTTCCTCTTTGACCGATTCGCTTGCTCTGCTGGGACACGCAACTTATGAGTTTTCATTACGGCAAATCCCAGTTACGGATTTTCTCTTTAGAGGTGATGTGCAAAGCAGTTTAAAAGCAATAAAAGAGTGCGACAAAATTGCTAGCTCTGTCACCAAAGGACATGATTACAAGCAAGGCTATTCAGGAACTGGACATCAAAGGCCTCGTAATAGCAAGACTTTTTTAGGGCATAGTAAGAGCTACAACACGTTCAAAAAGAAACTATGGGCCTCATACCAGAAGAGAGAGAACTCCAAGTGAGCCTAACTTCCACACTTATTCATGATGTAAGTAAATTTGAAACCCTATTACCAGTTAACACTACAGGCTTAGAGCAAAGTGTGAAATGCCTTAAAGCAGGTAACCTTACTAGTCTCCTTTCCAACTGGAGAACCATTGCATCTGATCGTGAAATTTTAGATATGATAACTGGTACAACCATTGACCTTACAAATCACAAATAATTGAGACTGAGTTCGAAAAGTTTCTAAACAAAGGTGTGATTGTCAGAACTTACCGGGAAATTGGTGAATTTTTTTCCCCCCATATTTCTGAGTTTAAAGAAAGATGGATCACACTGTCTGATTTTAAATCTTAAAGCACTTAACAAGAGCATTGTTTATCACCATTTCAAAATGGATACTCTTAGTTCAGTGATTAAACTTATGCGACCAAATTGTTTCATAGCCACTGTTGACCTCAAAGATGCCTACTACTCGGTGCCAGTATCAGAGAAGCACCAAAAATATCTCAAGTTTCACTGGAAAGGAAACTTTTACAAGTTTACCTGTTTTCCTGATGGGCTATGTTTTTTCCCTGGGAAATTTACAAGGCTCATAAAGCCAGTCCATTCTTGTCTTAGGTTTCAAGGCCACATCTTGGCAGCTTATATCGATGATAATTACATTCAGGGTGATACTTATACTGAATGTCTAACTACTGTGCTTGAAACATTAAAACTGTAAGTTGACCTGGGATTTTGTGCCTACCCTGACAAAAAGAGTCATGTCTGATACCATTCCAAAAAGTTGTTTTTCTTGGAGTTGTGTTAAACTCCGTCACAATGACTGTAAGACTGACCATAGAAAAAACAAAAAATTAACAATACATGTACAGCACCGCAGAAGAGGTCAAAATACAGTATAAGAGAGGTTGCAAGTGTTATAGGACTACTGGTCTCAAGTTTCCCTGCAGTTATGTATAGGCCATTGTATTACGGACAACTAGAACAAAAGAAATCACATGCTGTCAAAGACAATGGCAACCATGAGGCCTTTATGTCCCTCTCCCACAGATGCCAAAACAGAACTACAATGGTGGATCAAAAACATTGAGAACTTATTCAATGTCATAAATCATGACCCTCCAGCTCTAAAAATTAGCACTGATGCATTAAAAATTGGGTGGGGAGGTGTTCTCAATGATATGATTTGTGGGGGCCACTAGACACCCCAAGAGGCTGAAGAGCATATCAACTATCTTGAGTTAATGGCTGCATTCTTTTCACTTCAAGCTTTTGTGACAAATCTACAAATCTATGTAAATGATAAACATTTCAGACTGAAAATTGATAATACAACAGCCGTGGCAGCAATAAATAACATGGGCACTAATCACTGTAAAATGTAACAAAGTGGCTTCAGATATCTGGAGTTGGTGCATAGCTAAAAACATCTGGATTTCTACGTATGATGCACGATCCTTCGCAGTAGATAGCGCTATTTATGCCATACCGAAAATCAGACCTGAAAAAAATCAGGCCTGTACGGGATTCGAACCACTGACCTCTGCGATACTAGTGCAGCGCTCTACCAATTGAGCTAACGGGCCAACTGGGAGCAGGCCGTTAAGTTGATTCGTAATAAACCCGTGAAAGTGATAAATCAGATACAATGAATATATGAAGTTCATATATTTTGAACTGCTGTATTAAATACGTATGATGCACGATCCTTCGCAGTAGATAGCGCTATTTATGCAATAGCGAAAATCAGACCTGAAAAAAAATTGGTAGAGCGCTGCACTAGTATCGCAGAGCGCTGCACTAGTATGGTAGAGCGCTGCACTAGTATCGCAGAGGTCAGTGGTTCGAATCCCGTACAGGCCTGATTTTTTTCAGGTCTGATTTTCGCCTCTGAAATTTGCCATGGGATACTGGAAAAACGCACTGCATCTCGGGTTTATCTTTTCAAGGTAGAGCTTTAGAGCCTTGTAGCCGTCGTCAGGCGCGGATCTAGGAAAAATTTTGACCAATTTACTGCAAAACGAGTGCCGAAGGCACAAGCTTGCCCAGGAAATTTTTTCAATTTTAACTACCTAAAGCGCCCTTTCCAGGTTTTTGAGTCAGTAAGACAATATTTTTGCTAGTTCCACTCTCCTTGGATGAAGCCTTGCAAATCTGCGAATTATTTCGTCAAAGTCAATGTCCATGTTTTATTCAATGTACAACAAGGCAAGTCCTATCAATATCGTCTTGACATCGTAGATAGATAGATACTTTATTATAAACACCTTGCAGCCATAGGCTGAATTACGGAATATTTACAAGTACAGATGATAAAAGTATAAAATATTACAACTTCGTCATTAAGAAAGAAGGAAAATTATCTACATCTTATAAATATGACTAAAAAATAAAACTGTTTTTCAAGTGCTCGGTTTTGCATATGGGGAGAGCGAAATCACGTTTGCGCCTCAGTGCCTATCTACAACTCTTCCTTTGGGGGAGGAGGCTGTGGAGTCTATGGGTAGGGTTACGGACTATCTCGTCAAACAGATTGGCTGAAATCTTTTCTCTCCTCTCGTGAAGTTTCGGTAGGCCAGCTGTTTCTAGTGCTACACTATATGACAGGTCAGGATAAATGATTCCGAATGCCCTTCTTTGGATCCGTTCCAAATCTTCGCTGATGTAGTTTGGTAGAGAACGGTGGAATACAGGACTTCCGTATTCCAAGACGGGCCTAATACATGTCACATAGAATTGCACAAGTTCGCTTGGTGCAACTCCGGATATCTTGAGTTGTCTCAAAAAGTAAATACTAGAGGAACATTTTCTACTTAGTTCAGAGCTGTGCATGTTCCACTTTAAGTCGTGGCTAATGGTCACGCCTACCAATTTGGCACTGGTGACTAATTCAAGGGGTTTACCATTTAAGACTAGGGGTTCAAAATCGTGGATGCTGTTAGAGAATCCAATTCGTAGTTCTTTGCACTTGGCCTCATTCAGTTAGAACCCATCGATACTCGCTTGTCTTGAAAGGTCATCCACAGCTTCTTGGCGCTTGCTCACACTGCCCTTAATAACTATTTCGGAGCAAGATGTGTCGTCCACGTATTTCCACAAGTCAGCTGGGGTGTCCAAATCATTAATCATGATGAGAAATAACCAGAGCTAATTTTGTTCCCTGGGGGTCACCGGATGGTACAGAGCGCCATTCAGAGTGACAATCTTGAGCTAGTTTAACTCTTGTTTCAGGTTCATCAAAAAGTCGACAATCCAGCTTTCGGCTTGACTCGGAATATCATATGTTGCTAGTTTTTTAACGAGAACACTATGGTCGATAAGGTGAAAAGCCTTACGAAGGTCAAGTAGGACTACTCTTGCCGTGGAACCATTTCCGTCGGTGTTAACAAGCCAATTATGCGTCATGTTGACCAGAGCATGTGTAGTAGACGATTTGGGTATAGATCCGAATTGACGAGGGTCGATACTTTGTAACACGGCTGGTTTAACATATTTCTCAACAATGTGGTCTTCAGCGAGTTTGGACAAGATAGGGGTAACAGAAATGGGACGGAGGTGTTTGTTAATATCATTAATGGGCCTTTGTTTTGGGACCGGGACTACATCAGCTTCTTTCCAGGAAGGCGGAAGGCGGGATTCGTGGAACGAGGAGTTAAGGATCACAGAGACTGGTCCCGCCAAGAGATCAGCGTTTTCTTTTAATACCCATACCGGGATGCCGTCTGGCCCTTGTGCTTTGGAGGGGTTGAGTGCGGACAGTTTCATAAAGGTTGAAAACTCCGATATCGTATTTACGGCATGACTTTCGTTGTTAATTAGTGGTGGATCAAAAGGATTATGGGTAAGAGGCTCAAAACTCTGCATTGGAGTAAGGAACGCTGAATTGATGTAATTCGCCAGATCACCAGGTGAAAAACCTAGGTGCTGCAGTAATTTGCAGGTGTCATCACGCGTTTCTGAGGCAGGTGACATGCCGCTGAGCTTTTTCACCTCTTTCCACCACACGGATGGCTTGCACTCCCTCAAATGGCTAAACTTTGCTTCGTAGTACTTTGCCCGGCAGATCTTACGCTCGCGATTCACGCAATTTCTAAGCGTTCGAAAGGTGTTCATATTTCCTTTTGCAAGGGCACGCTGGTGTCGTTTGATAAAGTTGCTTCGTAAAATGTTTTCAGTCGCCTCAAAGCCGACACATTCCTTTCACACTCGCATGTGGTGACTGGTAAGGTGAAAAATATTTTGAGGCACTCTGTGATGTTAGGATATATTGTATGGTCGATCTCCTTCAAAGTTGCTGATGCAGTTGTCGGGACGGTCTTGGAATCGTGTCGTTCCCAATTTCTTTGCCATAAAGTCATGTCGGCATCAAGGCTCAAAGGTGAGGGCAACGAATCTTCACGGAACGTGGAAAACCGGCCAAAGGACGTCAACCATATGTTTCTTTTGATGCCAGTAGTATTGACGGAACAGCAACTAGGCACTGCACTGCTGTTTCTTGGTCACCACTACCAAATCGATTTTCTAGCTCATTGATCAGATGGTCAACCAAGGGAATCTACAAAAAAGACAATTTTCCATAAATATCACTTCGAAAGCTGAGTATTATATTTCGAATTGTGTAATCAGTGGGCCAGGAAATCTTAGGTCATCTTAGAAATGTGTTATACCCTCCAGTCCAGACAATCTATCTGTGTTTTCTCTTTCTCCATCTTCATTACTAGAACGAGTTTCCACTGCAAAGATAAATCATTTGTTCAAGTATTAGAAAGAGGACAAATTTCAGCCTAGAGAAACACGTCTGGGTATCACGTCAGCCAGACGTGTGCATACCGAACGAAAATAACTTTTCAGTAAAATTAATTTGTCCACTCTCAACCATTATTAACAAAGACCCGAACTAACCTTTTTTCCTGAAGTAGTCAGTAATTTGGGACATCTTGACTTTGTTATGTATTCCACACTCCTATTTAAGTCCTTGTCCAAAGACTTTGAATCATCATACAGGCTAACCGAGAAGCAGAATTGCACAAATCGCCAGGGGAAATCTAGTTTTGGTCTAGACGCCCACAGCAATGATGTGATAGCGTGACCGCCATCGGGAGACTAGTGATTTCCCGGCTGTAAAATTTTGCCGCCAGAACGTGTCTATGACCCTTGTTTATTTCCGGTAATTGGCAAAAAAGAATAAATTAAAAAATAAATGTCAAAACTATTTTCGGGACTCTACTTGCAGTTTGCTTTTACTATAAATATATACATATCTATATATTTTTTTTTAATTATAAAAATTCTGACCAATTTCCGTAAAACAGTGGAAACCGGTATGGATTCGCGCCTGGTCGTATCGGTCTGCAGTTTCGTACATTCTCGCTTCCTTTTCGTGACTGGGTTTGTCATTGACACCGCCGGGATGATTCTTCGAAGCTTCATCATGGGCCATGGTTGCGAATTTTCGCCCGGCTGCATTGACGCCAAAATTCCAAAATTGTAATTTTTGGTTGTTAGACCTCCATGTCGCTCACGGCCTCTCCAGCAACAGAAAAGAACAATATGGAACCAGACAATTTTCAAAAGCGAGAGCAGGGAGGAAAGCGAAAAAACTTCACTAGCCTTGAGCTGTTTGAGATGCTCTCTTTCAATAGCAGGTTTGTGGGTTACGTTTTCCTTTCCGCTTCGTTTTAAATTGACAAGTTGCGCGTCTAAGGCCCCATTCAGACGCCGTGTTTCAGCCGAGCCGAATCGAACTCAACGAATTGAGTTCATGTGAAGTACGACGTCTAAATCAATTCGGGACGGCTGATTTAATTTAGATCGGCTCGGTCAATTAATCCTGCCTGACTTAGCCGGGAAGAACGGCTGTAGTCCGGCTTTGATTCAGACGCCGTACTTCACATGAGCTGAATCAAATGCATAAATTATTTTAAAGTATTTTTCTTGCCGTTTTTACATGTGAACCTGTGCAAAGGAGTGTTTCAGAAGAAAAATGGCGGCTTGAAAGGCCGAGCAAAACGATGCTGACAGATATTGAATGGGCGCCCTATTCTACGCCTTTCGAATTAACACTGATTCTTCGCTCTGTCGGTTCTTTGGGCATTATTTAGTTGTCCTCTGCGTCAACAACGTCCTCTCCCGCCTCTTTCGTGTATCGCTCGCAAAAAGCGACGCATTGACCAGCATGGTAATCTTTGTTTTCTTCAAAAATTGAACATTTACTGCATATTGGAATTTCACATTTCAAGCAATTATATTTGGTCGCGCCGAAACACATACTGATCAACTGCCGGACTTTATTTAGGTACGTCTTTAAAGGAGTGACCAACTAAAATACTTCCTTACAACGACCATGCCATACAAATCACTTTCGTTCTTTTTAACACTTATCGAAGAAGTTCGGCGTCTGAATCAATTCAGCCAGGATTAACTAATTTAGGTCGGCCTAAAGTTCAATTCGATTCGGCTCGGCTGAAGTACGGCGTCTGAACTAGGCCTAACATTTGGTTTGACCGCAATAATCTCGGGTCACTTGCTAGTTGAAGCCCTTTGTTGTATGGAGGAGAGTTGAGATATCTTTCAATTCCATTGTCTGAATCCAAGCAAGGTGGATTTACTGTATGGCTGCCCTGTTTGAGTTCGTGCTTCGGCGTAAAATTGCCTCAGGTTGTGGTTCAGCTGACCAATCGTCAGGTTTTCGGGCGGTGTTTGTATAGCTTTCTCTGAGCACCGGGCTGAAATTGAAAACGTGAATGGCTCAAAAGAATTGATCTCTGTTACTTTCTTTATTTAGTACAGTGAAAGAACAGACAACTGAGGCTTATAGGAAAGACTTTTTGTATAACTCACAAGCCGGAAGCATTTAAACGCCTTTCTACGCCGAAAAAGTTTTATAACGAACGCTTGTACAGAATTTTATTATCGCTAGATCGCTGAAACACACTCTCTAAAATTGCTACTATTCATTACTCACCTCGAAAGGTTGATACAGACCAGTTTCTTGTTTTCTTGGTCTTTTCTGTGTCTTTGTTCAACCAGCTGAGAAAGCTCCTGCCCACTTAAGTTCGCAAATCTCGAACTCTTAGCGGAGGCCCGTCAAAATAATTGAGTTCGAAATTTGACAGCTCACGAGAATTATCTTCCTTATCTCCGGAAAAATTACTAGATTTTTCCGTGTTTCACGAGCAAAAAAAAACCACAAAAAACAGGAATTATGTTGTAAGAAGTAGTGACATCGACGAAAAAAGTTGCCGTGAAAAAAAAGCGAAACAAACTGACGTCAGCGTGCAATCCAAAGGCAAATGGTCGAGCATATTAGCCAATCAGAGCGCGCTTTTAATTTAATTTAATTTAGTCCATTTCCACTGCATTAAGTTTAGCAGTGGGGTCGGACTAGAAAGGAACATAGGAACCATTCGTGCCAGTCCACCCTCCCACCCATCCCACCCCAGGGGAGGACATCCATCACACAGTAATCTCGTGCGTGGGAAATTAACGTCTCCTACCCCTAACCCTGCAGGAGACGGGACCTCCATTTATTCGTCCCTATCCGAGAAGACTATAATATCTAATCATTTCTTGATGTTATAGAAAGGTAGCAAATTCTTCTCAATTATTTGAAGACCCTGAGTGTCACTACTTTCGTGTTCATCTGTATCCACTGGACTTTTTCTACTACATGAATTGTATAATTGTATAATTGACGAAGTTTTTCATTCGGTCGAAAACCACAAAAATAGATTTGGTTGGGCGCGAAAAAAGGTAAAATAGGACAAACTGACACAGCAGTTGGGATGGGTAAATTAGGAGAAGACTGGCATTGTTTGCGAACGAGTATGTCTCCTTTCATACTTAGATGTAGAGCAGCACGGTGAGCAAAAAATCAACTGAAACGAATTACATGAATCTCAAGCCGGAGTAACTCTTCCACTTGTTTTCAATTTTTTGCTATTTTGCCTTCATGCCAATCTGCATGTATTGCTAAGATCAACTTTATAAGGATATTTATAAACTTTATCTTTGATAAAAACTCAGGATTTTCTTTATTAGTTAGTCTTATTAACCACATGTTTCCTTTCCAAATGAATTTTTCTTTGGTGTTGGCTTTTAAAAACCTCAGTCGAAATGCGGTCCAGTTGAAAGATATTATAATTATGATAATTGACGCGCAGCCAGTCGATCAGAAGGGAAGATTAGTTTTGTCAATGTTTTAGATGTTCCGGGAAGTCAATGGGACATGTCATTTCAATAGCGCAAATGCTTTTCAATTAGTATATTTATTGAAAGTTTAAAGTAATGACTTCCAGCCATTGAACATTATCGAAAGATTGCCTTTTAAATCCCCCAAACCAGCAGACTTTATGGTGTGTTAGCCCACACAAAATTTAGTTGTTTTTACCAAATCTAGGGGAAAAACGATACTTAAAAAAAAATATGAATGCACATTTAAAGTAACAATACAAGTGTTCTCGTGTAACTCCAACCAGTACTTGGCAAAAGGTCTTAGACCGACCAAGGTAACCCATCTTAGCTCCAGACCACAATCTACTATGAAGGCCGAACGAGACAAACTGATCATATAAGAGCGTGTTTCATCCTTCCAACGAAACTGGCACTTAAATACTTATTTTTGTGGGTATTTTTTAAGGAATATTATTGTATGTACATTGCCATCGCCAGTCTAACTCTAACTTAAGCAATCATTTTTTGTTGTGGAGTTGTCGTTAAGCCTCTCCGTCTTTAATTTCGTGGTTCCTTATTTCTTAATATTAACAATCAGTGCGCGTTCACGGGGATATGAAGCAGGAAGGAAGCGTAAGAGTTGCTCAAGGCGTAGCTCGAGTTTTTGGGTTATTTTGTTTGTTATATGAGCGGAAAGGTCGTTTTTATTAATGAATGAAAAAATAGGATCCGCGAAAACCCGTGGGTGGGGGATAAGGCTAAGGATCAAAAAATCCGTTAAACCATTACAAAAAAACACACTAGGCGTATCTTTCAAATCACACAATTCTCATTTATTGCCTTTTCCCTACTGACAGATGAAATATCTTCAGGTACACGACAAAAATCGGTCTGGGGCAATAGCGAAAATCAGATCTGAATTGGTAGAGCGCTGCACTAGTATCGCAGAGGTCAGTGGTTCGAATCCCGTACAGGCCTGATTTTTTTCAGTTCTGATTTTCGCTATTGCTTAAATAGCGCTATCTACTGCGAGGATCGTGCATCACACGTATTTTTAAAACAATAGATCAAAATTGTAAAAGTGCTTTTGTTATTGTTATCAGCAAAACATGGACTATTCCTCATCAGACAGTCAATCATACAGTCATACCAAGGCTGAACTCTGGCAGTGTTGTTTCTGGGTGACTATAAAATCTTGCCTTTCTTGTAGAAATCGTATGCTGCACACCCTCGATAGCACTGGTTAAGAGCATTGGTGCTCTCTCTTCAGTTTTTTTTGGAGCACAGCCTTGCATACTCTATGTACACGAACATACTTGAGTATTTCCGCCTTGTAAAAATTTCCTAACTTAAATGTGTTTTGTGTCATTCCCAGGAGAGCGCCTAGCTGGCAGCACACGACCTTTCACGCTCCATGTTTTCCCTCTATTTTTTAGAGAGATTTATTAATATTTTAAGTTTTAAATCTAGTCTAAACCCAAAAACATGGCTTTGACGTATTCAAGATCAGTACTTCAACAGTTATTGTCGTTTTCCCCGGCTTTATTGAGTCCACTCCTGTGGCGTCGCTTCACTGAGCACGGTATCACTCGCATAAAATCCACACGTCGGGGTTGCCGTGGC